CCGAGCCCCCTGAGCTCCCGCTTTGCCTATAATCTTTATAAACTTATAAAACTATATCTTTGTCTCAGTGTATTCTTTTATTTCTTCCATTTTCCATTTCTCTCTATTATTTTCTTATCCCTTGCAACTCTACAAAAGGGACCCGGTTTTTTGCAGGGAACACTGGCCACGTTCCCCGCAGGTTAATAATTGGGCAACCTAATCACACCAATGGATTATTATATGCCTTGAGGTTGAATCTGCTTATTTGGGTTGAATCAGCTTGGTGTACTTTGGCCTTCTTGTACCTCCATATTCATTATCTTTCTCTAGGTTTGGAAAGTTCTCTGCTATTATTTCTTTGGATAAGCTTTCTACCCTGGTCTCTCTCCTTCTACATCCTCTTTAAGGCCAACAATTCTTACATTTGCCCTTTTGAGGCTTTTTTCTAAGTCTTGTAGGCATGCTTCAATCTTTTATCTTTTTTCTTCTCTGACTGAATATTTTCATATAACCTGTCTTCAAGCTCATAAATTCTTTCTTCTGCTTGGTCAATTCTGCTTTTGAGAGACTCTGATGCATTTTTCAGTTTCTCAATTGAATTTTTTGGCTCCAGGATTTCTGCTTTTTTTCATTATTATTATTTTAAGCTCTTTGTTAAATTTCTCTGATAGAATTCTGAATTCTTTCTCTGTGTTATCTTGAAGTTCATTGAGCTTGCTTGAGACAGCTATTTTGAATTACCTGTCTGAAAGGCCACATATCTCTGTCACTCCAAGATTGGTCACTGGTGCCTTATTTAGTCCATTTGGTGAAGTCATAATTTTCTGGATGTTCTTGATGCTTGTGGACATCTGTCAATGTCTGGGCATTGAAGAGTTAGGTATTTATTTCCATCTTTGCAGTCTGGGCTTGTTTGTACCCATCCATCTTGAAACTTTCTTGAGAGAGCTTTCCATTCAAAGGGGATTGAGTATTGTGATCTAAGCCTACAGTCACTGCAGCCATTTCAGCACCAGGGGGCACCTAACACCCAGGAATGCTGCAACTCTTATAGATTCCTTGGTACTTGGCCTTGGTGAACTTGGGTAAGATAAATGAGAATTCCTTGGGTTACCAGGTAAAGTCTCTCACTCTCTTCCCTCTTTTCCCCCCAATCAGAAGGAGTCTCTCTGAGCTGGGCTGCCTGGAGTTGGGGGAGAGTACCCCTGTGGCCACCACAGTTGGCACTGTGCAGGGTCACACCTGAAGCCTTGCAGACCAGCACAACACTAGGGCTTGCCAAAGGATCACACCAATAGAAAATGCAAACGATAAATTTCAGGCAGTTTATGATACAATAGAGGGGAAACTGAGTGTTTCCCCTACTGAAAAAAGGATACGGACAGTTACAAATTAGGTAATGAGGTAATTCAAAATAAATGGCTGTTTGTGTTTTTCTAACAAGTTGCTTGATTTACAAAAATAAATAGAATCTAAAAGGGATAATGCACACAGAGATTACAGTCAGTATACTTCAGCGCATAGTATGTTCAAAAGTGGAAAGTAACACAAGTTTAAAAATTGAAAATGTGGCTGAATTTTCTGCTTGTTGTTCATGACAACAGCATTTGCAGCACAATTATAAAAGTCTAGTTCCAGATGACAATCTTATTCCCAAAGCAGGGTGCATATCAATTAAAGCTGAATACCCACAACAGTGCCCTGCTACTGGTAGGCACTCAATAAGTAAATATTGAATGAATAATGGCAACATTCCAATGTAAAAGCCACAGTTATATTACCTTATTCAGCATCGAATACATTTCTAACTATTATCAGACATAATTATTACAGGTCTATTGAGGGTGAGTAGAATTTCTGCTATTTTGAGAACTTGTTTTCTAAAATTATATTTTCAAAATAGAATTTGATCTGCTGTTTTTAATAGAAAAACAGACATTACATGTAATTTTGTTCTTACCCCATAGCATAATTAATATTCATAATTCATAATTTAAAGAAAGGTACTAATTAATTTGTTTTAAAACCTCTTGTCTTTCTTAAGACTGTAATATTCCTTGATGATATGAATATGCCAGTATCAGATATGTATGGAGCAAAGCCACCCCTGGAATTGATAAGACAATTATTAGATTTAGGAGGAGTTTATGATACTGGAAAAAATGCATGGAAGGTACAGTATGTACTAAGTTTTGTTCTCATTAAATATTGTTACTTACAATGAATTAAATATTTTTAACAATGTTGAGTAAATTAAGTAAGAAATATAGAAAGTCTAGCCATATGGACATATTAAGCAAAGTTTAGACCTTAAATTAACCATGCCAGTTAGATCTTTGCAATTTAAGTCCATGGTTTTATAGAAATTCTAATTTTAGTCAGTTTTAATCTTAGTAAAAATTGCAAATATGTCCCAGAGATTTGGTTTCTGAATCAAATAATGCTCACTATTGTTAACTGTATTAATAGTTAATCAAATTTTTCAATGCATCAGAATTTAGTTAGAGAAAAGCTAATAAAAATGTGGCCTACCAAATGCATCCTTAATCTCTATATAAACGTACTCTACATCTTTATTTTCAAGAACATAGATCAAAGATTATCAGAAGTATTGCAAAATCAAAAAAATTCCCGAGGAGGTAATCCTGTGCAATTATCTTTGTTACATTGAACTAAATCAAAATGGCTTAAGTTTTTGGAAGAAAATCCATTCAAATGCACTTCTCTCCCTGTTTGGTTCCTTCTCTGGAAATCACAAGCTCTATGTTTCAGAACTGACTCTACCACTTAAACTTTCTAGGGGCTCAGATTCCTCATTTGTAAAATTAGATGGTTGCATTACAGACAGTTTCATGTCTCAGACAAACTTGGGCCCCAGATCCTAAATGAGGCACGCTGGCTTATGAGTGCCATCAGCTCAGACACCTGAGGGGAAGAATGCAGATGCAGACCACCAGGAAGAATCCAGTAGAATGCTAGAAAAAAAGAAAAGGCAGGAAATAGGTTCTGGAACGCACGGCCTGGGCAAGTTCCCTGAACTGACCAGAAACAGAGCAGACCTTTTTTGGGATTTCTGTGGCCTTGGACACAAGTAGGAATGAAGCTATTGAAAGCACTCTGTTGTGGGTGAAAGAGATTATCAGTATGATTTCACCCAGCTGTTCAATGGTATGATGTTGTAGTATGTCAAATGAACATTGTTATGTTAACAGTGAAGCATCTTCTCACCCCAAGCCAATCCTGGCCGTTTGGAGACACATAACAGCAGACTCTTCTGATTTCGCACTTTTCACCAGAAGCCTCTTTGCTAGCCTCGATAACATAGTGCTTATTTTCCAATGATTGCTTTAAAAAATGAGCTATTTCCTGATAACATTTAGGAAACCTCCTGAAAGTAACATGTCTTGAAATTATATTTTAAGATGGGTGACTTCTAAGGAGATAGATTTCTATTTCCATCATAATTTTTGTTTTGCAGTAAATAGTAATCTTAATCTTTTTGCCCAAATGTTTTTAAATCTTTTACCCATTAGGGGCAGAGAAGTAGCTATATATTTCACTTCCTACAGATGCATTTAGTTATTCTTCCTTTTTATTCTTCCCACAGAATATTCAAGATCTCTCTATAGTTGCAGCTTGTGTTCCTACAGGTGGTGGGAATGATATTAGCCCACGTCTCCTCAAACATTTTTCCATACTGGTATTGCCTCATCCTTCACCAGGTGCCATACGTACTATTTTCCAGGTAATACGTCTAGTTCATTTTTTACTGAAAAAAAAAAATGAATTCCATAGAATAAAGAAATATATGAGAACCTAAATCCACTAATATTGAAAGAAAATTATCTTAAGAGGGTGGATTTTATTTCTGCCTGTATTTTCTGGCCTATTGTTATAATTTGTCTCTAAATATCAAAAGCATAGTTTATTGTGCATAAAAAAACACATGTTTAATGCGCATTTAAAATGCAGATGTCAGGACTTTATCCTGAGATTTTGATCCAATATATCTGGGATGGAGCTCAGGAGTCTGCATTTTTAACAACCACACCCTGATTTTTGCTAGAATTGATTTGCTCTTTTCCTTTTATCATGGAATAAAAAACACTGCACAAACTATTACCTCAGTCTAGATTGGTATACTTTCTTCTAAAATGGAATTTTGTTTTAAGTGTAGAATATTGATCGCCTGCATCAAAATTACCAAGTGCTTTTTGAAACATGGATTTAAAAAGTCAGCTTTATGTTTTATATTATAAAGAAGAAAACACAAGATTTGTTTTGAAGAATTTAGTAATCCTGCATAAGATTTATTTTTCTAATCATACTAGGTTTCAAGTTGAGCCATTTTTCTAGCAAGATGTTTCAGGATTTTTAGAAGAAAGTATACCTGTATACCAACCCAGACTGAGGTAATAGTTCTATCACTTTCTACTTCTTTTAGTGCATCTACTGACGAGAAAGGAAATGGAAGAATTCTCGGCACACTTGGTTTATACAGATGTGGAACATAAATTGTCCCCAGAGAACACGTGTCACATGCCTCTAGACCATTCGCCAAAGTAGAACCAGTTGGAATTTTCCCCAGTTTGCAACACCAACATGTCTTTTTCTAGTCCACCATCCTGTTTTAAATGGATTTTACTTTTAACATTTCTAATGAAATTAATCCTCTGCTATAGTAAACAACTCTGCTTTTTAGTAGAGATTAGCCAGAAATAGTCTATACTTAAAATTTTGGGCAAACTAAATTATAGCATTTCTTTTTAAAGGCTCATTTGGGAATGTATTTCTCCATCAATAACTTCACATCCGATGTTCAGAAAAGTAAGAATGAGATAACATCTTGTTCCCTAGCTGTGTACCATCAAGTACGTCAGAGTATGTTACCAACCCCAACAAAATGTCACTACATGTTTAATCTTCGAGATGTGTTTAAGGTTCGTTTTAAAATTCGTTCTCTAGGTATTTTTTGTTTTTTTTTATTTCTTTTTTTATAATTATTATTTCAAGATATTAAGGGGTACAAGTGTTTTTGTTACATGGATGAATTGTATAATGCTGAACTCAGGGCTTTTAGTGTTCCCATCACCAGAATAGTGTACATTGTACCTGATAGGTAAGTTTTTATCCTGCACCCTCCTTCCTCCCCCCCTTCTTAATTTCCAATGTCCTTTACGCCACTTTAAGACCATGTGTACCCACTGTTTAGCCCCCATTTATTAGTGAGAACATATGGTGTTTGTTTTCCCATTCTTGAGATACCTCACTTAAGTTAATGGTCTCTAGTTCCATGCAAGTTGCTGCAAATGAAATTATTTCATTCCTTTTTATAGACCCACACCACAGTCTCCTTTTAGTTATGCCTCTGTGGGCTCTTTTGCCTCCCAAGATTAGTTCACAAATCTCCCCTCTGTGCCCCCAAGGAACACGATCGAGTTCTGGGGATACAGGATCCAGCCTGAAGGCCTGTCTTCTGATCCCCCAAGTTCAATCCCTAACTTCCAGAGAGAAGTGTGCTGGTCCTGAGTTGTCTGTGGACCGCTCAAGTACTCTTAATGGCCCTCTGCTTCAGGGTATGCCCTGCTCTGCTGGGGCAGCCAGGCAAGCAGCAGCAGGGAGGGCGGGCAGGGAGCTCACAGTCTGAGCACCCCTTGGTCCACTGTAGGTCTGTAAGAGGAAAGGCGTAAGTCCCACTCTCTGTGGAAGCCTAGGTGTGGTGGGCATGCCAGCAGAGAAGAAACAGCCCCAGCTCAGTTGTCTTTGGGACACCCATGCTGACCTACCATGGACTACCACAGCTGCACTGGCAGCTGTGGGTGGGAGAGGGGAGGAGAAGGAGAAGAGTCTGAATGGAGGAGAGCTGGCACTCTGGTTTCTTTTGCCCTAAGGGCCACACACATACACACACACACTCACTCCCACCGCTTACTGTACTCTCCTGTCCCCTGAACGTAGCCTACCTTGAATGTCCAAGCTTTGAGATCAGACAATTCCCTTGGGACCCACCAGCCCCCTGTGGCCACCACAGTCTGGCAGGTATTGGGAAATGTTTGTGTGGGGACCAGTGACAAGAAAGCTGAAGGGCTGAAGCTCCCAGGACAGGACAAAAGCACACAATGGGTGGAGAAGCAGTATGGTGCCTGGCGTCTTGGCTCTGGTCTGTGCTGATGGGGAGCGAGCCTGGTTCCATGTGCTCAAGAAGCTCTCAATTCACTGGTGGTGGTAGCCTTTGGGCTCGTGAGGGTAGAGAAGCTCTCCAACAGTTCCAGAGCCTGCAGTCTGCCAGAGGTGTGAGAGGAAGAAAAACAAACACACCCACCTACCCTTTCCATGGGACTTGATCTTTGCTGAAATCTTGCTCTTTCTTGTTCTGCTCTTCAGCTTCTTCCCATGGAATCTCCGGTAGGTTCAGAATTACACCTGGGCAATATTTTTTTCATCTCAAACTTTTCCTTTTTTATAAGATGATCTGGTGACCAATGTCTCTAGTCAGCCATCTTGCCTCTTCTCTGTCATCCAGTTTTTTTTTTCTCTAGTTTATTTTTAAAAATTTAAGTTGAGGAGATGTAATTTTACTGCATTGAGTCTCTCTGTCTTTCTCTTTCTCTCCCCCCTTTCTCTCTCTCTCTCTTTCTCCATTTCCCTACTCATGGTACTGTCAACATTAAATTGTGAAAAGGGGAAAAAACAGAAATGCATATTTATTAGCAGCTTATCCTATGAGTTAGTTGAAAAGAATTGTTAAAATAATTTCATGCAGAGAATTCAGTGATGAAACCACTAAGACTATTAGAATATTGGCTAAGATCTTCAGCAGGGAAAGAAGTGACAGAGTTATAATACAGATTTTTGTTTTGCTTTATTTTTGAGATTTTATTGTGGCTGTCAGAAAATGAAAGCATGTATGTATTTCATAAACATGTTTGAATTTTCAGATTTTGCAAACAGTACTGATTTAGTTACCAGCCTTGGCCAAATAATTTTCAAAATTGATGTTAGGAAGAATGATTCTTGAATTTGATATCATCCTCTTCTTGCAGTGGGACTTCAGCCCTAAATAGCACATATAATCTCTGATATGGGTTATAAGATTTTTTAAAATCCAAATTTAGAATGCTAAAACATATTAACCTCAAGAAGTACCTCTACATCACCTTCAACATGTTGCCTCCATGTCAGCACCGGGGTCTGGACTCCCATCCCAGCAAGGCCTCCATGAGATGTGGCTGAAGAGTCCCTAACTTCCCCCCTCAAGGGTCATACAACACCAATTTTCCCTGACTTATAACTTTCCCACCTCATCAAAACTTCGGATTATCTCTTGTAGAAATTGACAATTCTTACCTTGGATAATTGCTTCTATTTTTATGGAACATTAGCCTGGAAAAATTGAGCCTTTACTTTACATACTACCCAGATAATGTCTCTTAAAAATGTTATTTTTAATAATAGCTTCTCCTAGGATTGCTGCAAGCTGACAAGGCTGTTATTGACTCCAAAGAGATGGCTGCTCTGCTCTTTGTTCATGAAGCCACCCGAGTGTTTCACGATCGCCTAATTGATTCCACTGAAAAAGGCCTTTTCTATCAGTTGCTGTCAAAGGAACTTCAGAGCTATTTTCAGGTAAACTTATATTTTAAAAAATTATTTTAAATAGATTCTTAGGCAAAAATGTTGTTTAACAAAAGTCCCCAAACATTTCTATAGTATTAATTAAGTAAACTTTATTTAATTAACAATTCATTTTTTACTTGAAAATGTCTAAAAGTATAGATGTGTTGGAGATGATAAGATCTTGGTGCCTTTGCCCATGTTTTTGGCCTCTTAAGAGCTCAAAACTGCCCATTTTTTTTTAACACTAGCAAACTGTCTACTCTCTTGATGCCCTTAGGAAGACTGTTCATTCCTCTCCAGCCCTTTGAACTTTAGTTTTCTCACTGCCTGTCTTTTAGTCCAGGTCACAAAGGAAAGTGTTTCAATAAATCGATTCACACTGAAAGAACGTGACTAAATGGAGCAGCGATCTCAGCTCCATTACTAGACTTTTTTGCTGTCTTCTCTCAACAGAATTAAGAACATTTCCTTTCCAAGCAAGGGTGACTCTTCATTTTCTGTCTTCTTTTCTTTTTCTGTCTTCTTTGGTGGTGCCACTTTCTCTCATCCTGTAATAGTAGTCCAAGAAATATAATAAATTCAAGAACACAATAATATTTTACAACAGTAAGAGAATTTTGTAATACAAATTTTATACATAGAGATAGAGTTACACATTCATACATATAAACTTAGAATATAACATATGTGTATTTAGTCATATGTCACTTAAAAACGAGGACACCTTCTGATAAATGCATTGTTAGGTGATTTCATCTTTGTGTGAACATCATAGAGTGCACTTACATGAACTTAGATAGTTTATAGCCTACTACACACCTAGGCTAAATGGTATAGCCTGTTGCTCCTAGGCTACCTATGCAGCATGTTACTGCACTAAACACTGTAGGCAGTTGTAACACAATGGTAAGTGTTTGTGTATCTAAACATATCTAAACATAGAAAAGGTATAGTAAAAAATACCATATAAAAACGATACACCTCTGTAAGGCACCTACCATGAACGGAGCTTGCAGGACTGGAAGTTGCTCTGTGAGTGAGGTGAAGACCCAAGACATTACTGTGCACTACTATAAGCTTTATAAATCCTGTAAACTTAGCCTACACTAAATGTATTTTTAAAATTTTCTTTCTTCAATAATAAATTAAGCGGAGGAGCCTGAGGCGCTGCAGCTGAGGAGACAAAAGACGACGATGACCCTCAGCTCACCAGCCCAATCGCTGGGTTCGCCGCCATGGCAATGAGGCAGACGCCGCTCACTTGCTTGGGCCACACGGGGCCCATGGTTGATTTGGCCTTCAGTGGCATCGCGCCTTATGGGTATTTTTTAATCAGCGCTTGCAAAGATGGTAAACCTATGCTACGCCAGGGAGATACAGGAGACTGGATTGGAACATTATTGGGTCATAAAGGTGCTGTTTGGGGTGCAACATTGAATAAGGATGCCACCAAAGCAGCTACAGCAGCTGCAGATTTCACAGCCAAAGTGTGGGATGCTGCCTCAGGTATGAATTGATGACCCTGGCTCAGACTGTGGATTTCACACAGGATAGTAATTATTTGTTAACTGGGGGACAGGATAAACTGTTACTCATATATGACTTGAACAAACCTGAAGCAGAACCTAAGGAAATTAGTAGTCACACCTCTGGTGTTAAAAAGGCTCTATGGTGCAGTGAGGATAAACAGATTCTTTCAGCTGACGATAAAACTGTTCGCCTTTAGGATCATGCTACTATGACAGAAGTGAAATCTCTAAATTTTAATATGTCTGTTAGTAGTATGGAATATATTCCTGAGGGAGAGATTTTGGTTATAACTTATGGACGATCTATTGCTTTTCATAGTGAAGTATATTTGGACCCAATTAAATCCTTTGAAGCTCTTGTAACCATCGATTCTGCATCTCTTCATCCTGAGAAAGAATTTCTTGTTGCGGGTGGTAAAGATTTTAAACTTTATAAGTATGATTATAATAGTGGAGAAGAATTAGAATCCTACAAAGGACACTTTGGTCCTATTCACTGTGTGAGATTTAGTCCTGATGGAGAACTCTATGCCAGTGGTTCTGAAGATGGAATGGTGAGACTATGGCAGACTGTGGTAGGGAAAACATATGGGCTTTGGAAATGTGTGCTTCCTAAAGAAGATAGTGGTGAGCTGGCAAAGCCAGAGATTGGTTTTCCAGAGACAACAGAAGAGGAACTGGAAGAAATTGCTTCAGAAAATTCAGATTCCATCTATTCTTCAACTCCTGAAGTTAAGGCCTGATCATCAAACATATGCCACAGATAGTATAGAACTTATGGACTAAAACAAGCAAACAGAGAAAAGCATTAGCCTTCCAGAGTTATTCTCTGCTTAAGGCAAACACAGCAGTAAATAATGGGGAATATGAATTAGCTCCAGTGCTGGAACAACTAACTTGGTGTTATCTGTAAGTGAAAACTCAAGAGTGTCAGATGAAGGCAGATGGAATTATGCTCTTGTAGTATGATGGGCTGTTGTTTTTTTAAAAATGAATATGTGCAAGCCAACATCCAATTATGATTAGATTTCTTGTAGCTGTTTATGTTATTATGAAGAAGAAAAATATATTGGCTTATTTTTCTGACTTTTCCTTTACAGCAGAATGCCTTTTTTTTTTTTTTTTTTTTTTGCTTTAGTCACAAAGAAGAGGGAATTCATGATTAAGTAACTGGTTTGATTTCTCTTTCATTGTACACTGCTTCTGAACATCTAATTGTTTTTAGTTGTCTAAATAAAATGCCTCTAAAACAAAAC